TCAATGGTCTAACGACTACGGCATGCACGACTATGAGTACACCCCCATGAGTACACCCCTCGGTGTTTGCCATCGGGATTGGGTTTTCGTCGCTTCGTAACGACCTTGTAAAACATGCCAATTCACTTGGCAACCAGGATACCGTTTTTTTTTTACCTCTGTTTTTTTTGTTGGCGGTAACCATAATGGTGTCGAGTAGATCATGTTGTGCGGTGTGGAGAACCCTCACTCCGTGCAACGGGGATGATCGCACCAGGTCGTGTTAATAATATGGTCAAGCACCCTCGAGGCAGTTGTTACACAGTGCTTACAACTGTCTCTGGAAGTGGAAGCATCAGAAAATTGATTGAGTAATACGCAATCATCGGTATGCAAGGAAGTAACCACAAGATGCCGACCAGTTGTATGTACTGGTGTTCCTCGGTGCAACGCTGAAATACCCTCTCTTCTTTTACAGTTTCTCAAGAATGAGTTAAATATACCGTAAACGTCGGAGTTCTCCCCCCGGGGAGGGGATCGTGTTTGTTTCTTCTTTTCCCTCCACATGTCGCGAAGAGTTCCCTCAACTTCTCCCCGCGGCTTGGCTCTACAGCTCTGTTGAGTTTCATGAAAAACTTATGAACGGTCTTCGAAAGAAGGTACAGCGTCTCATGGTACTCTCCACCCCTTCCCTTCGTGTACAAATAGGATCGAACGTCCTCCAAGCGAGAGATAATATAGCCCAGGTGAAGGACGAGGTTACGCACGACTTTTGTTTTGGCGGCATCAGATGGACCGCCGGTAGATGGGAGGAATCTATCTATACCAATACCCAGTTACAGCTACAGCAGCAGACCGCTCGCTAGTTCTGTTGTCTGTGCTTCGCTACTTGTGCACTCTATGTGGTGCGTGGTGGGTGCATAGAGCGGCCCGCACGACACAAAACGGGGATACGCGGCAGACAACGGCGGGGTACCCCATTCTCGTACATTCTGCCGGGCCCTCTGGTGCTCAGAAAGGTTTCCTCAAAGCGAGGAGTTTCCTTACCGCGAGCGCCCTTAAAGCGGGGTCGGCTGTAATAAAGAGCAGCGTGAGTTGGTTGCTTCCTCTTGCAGTGTCATTCTGCCGGGATTTGCTTTTTTGTTTTTGGGGACATTCTTGCTAAATGACAACGTCGATGCGTACCTTCGTTCGGGCTGCGGATTCTCTTCTTTTTTGTTGTTCAGCATGGCGGACCATGGGTCTTTCTTCCTAAACATTAGCGATGAATACACCGGAATTCATTGGAACGAGACATTGGAGAAAGATTTGTGGGGGAGGGGGGGGANACATCACCAAGCGCGAAGCGCCGTGAGATATTCGGCGAGTCGCATGAAGGGTGCGCTGCATCCTGCTCAGGGTCTTCGGCGTCTTGTGCTTACTTCCTTGCATACGGATGACAGCTGCGAATGACTTAAGTTTATATTCTGGTGCNTGAGGTATTCGGCGAGTCGCATGAAGGGTGCGCTGCATCCTGCTCAGGGTCTTCGGCGTCTTGTGCTTACTTCCTTGCATACGGATGACAGCTGCGAATGACTTAAGTTTATATTCTGGTGCTTCACGTCCAGAGACAGTTGTAAGCACTGTGTAACTGCCTCGAGGGTGCTTGACCATTTTAACCCGACGTGGTGCGATCATCCCCCTCGCGCGGAGTGAGGGTTCTCCACACCGCACAACATGATCTACTCGACCACCATTATGGTTACCGCCAACATAAAAACAGAGGTAAAAAAAAGCGGTAACCTGGTTGCCGAGTTCACGATTTGAATTGGCTGGTTTT